TGAGAGAGACAGAGAGCACATAAGAGGGGGGAGGGTCAGAGGGAGAAGCAGGCTCTCCGCTGAGCAGGGAGCCCGATGCGGGACCCGATCCAGGGACTCCAGGATCATGACCTGAGCCGAAGGCAGCCGCTCAACCAACTGAGCCACCCAGGCGCCCCTGCAAATATTTAACTAAAATATATAAAACACTTACCTTAAAGGAAAATATGGATAAATTAGACTACATTAAAATTAACATCTGTTTGTCAAAAGACACCAAGATAATGAAAAAGCAGGGCACAGAATATAGAAGATAATTGCAGTAACAACTCCAAAAACATACTCTATTCCTAATATATATTTTCTACATATCAGTAAGAAAATGACAACTCAACAGAAAAACAGGCAAAAGTGGGTATTTAACAAAAGAGGATATACAAATGTCCAGTAGACATATTTTAGTGTTCAGTCTCTTTAGTCATCAGTTAAATGCCAGTTAAATCCAGAATGTGATTCCACAACATACCCATAAGAAGACTACAACTAAAACCAGTGGTCATACCAAATGCCAGTGAGGATGTGGAGCAACTAAGATTCTCATACACTGCTGGAAGGACTGTAAAACAGCACAACTACTTTGGAAAACTGTTTTGCAATTATCTACGAAAGCTTGAACATACGTATTCCCCACAACCCAGTAATTCCATTCTCAGGTATATATGCAACACTGATGTATATGCCAGAAGATGTACAAGAACGTCAATATCATTATTGGTAACATCCCAAAATGGAAAATAATCCAATGTCCATCCACAGAATACACAGTGGTATACTAATACAACTGAATACTTATATAGCCATGAAAACACACTATTATTACAGGCAACATGGAGTGATCGCACATAATATTGAGGGGAAAAATGCTGTATGATTCCTTTTATATAAGTTCAAAAACAGGCAAAACTAACTGATAGCAATGATCAAGATACTGGTTTCAGTTGCAGGAGTAAGTGGGTAATTACAGACTGAGAAGGGGGCATGAGAGAGTCTTCTAGGATGCTGGTCTTGTTCTATTTCTTGATGTGAGTAATGGTTAAACAGTGTATTCCCTCTGTGGGAGTTTATTAAGCTGTATGTTTCTGAAGTATTTTCTTCATACTTGAATATAAAACTTAAAAGAATGCCAACAGTGTATGTTTCTCCACATCGTCACAACAGATTATTCTATAAATCTAATATTTGCTAATTAACAATTATAATCTACCTAGGCAAAATGAGCATCTCTTAAATGTTCTGGCTTACATCTTAATGAGGAACAAGGCTTAGTGGGGGAAAAATGTTCTGAAAGTTGTTCCTAGAATGGGGCGCCTGGGTGGCTCATTCGTTAAGCGTCTGCCTTCAGCTCAGGTCATGATCCCAGGGTCCTGGGATCGAGCCCCACATCGGGCTCCCTGCTTAGCCGGGAGCCTGCTTCTCCCTCTCCCACTCCCCCTGCTTGTGTGCCCTCTCTCGCTGTGCCTGTCAAATAAATAAATAAAATCTTAAAAAAAAAAAAAGTTGTTCCTAGAATTCCATCAAAAGCAAATTCTGAGGGGACTCAGCAGTTACTGTGGCCTGTTATCATCCCAAACCTATGAACACCAGAATTTTAAATGGAAAAGAAAGGGCCTGGGGGAAGACCTAGAAACAATAATAGGATGGAAGCATGAGTGCCAGGAGTTTCAGCACGACTGGAACAATGGTCAATCATAGCTTTAGAAGTAGCCTCTGGACAGGATTCATACTTCCCGGATTGTGCAACTACACACTTACTTCAATTACGAAAGCAGCAAATGTCCAAAAAGCAAGGCACTTTTTAAGAAAAACAATCTTCAGCCCTCCCTTACCCAGAGCAGACCTGTACATACAACCTGGCACAGTGAGTTGATCCTACAAGAGTGCCAACCCAGGGTCTTCCCCAAAGTAGTGTAACGGAGACAGCACAGGGCTCATTTAACATGCATATTATAGCTTTTGAAAAGGAGTCTATCAGTTGCAAAACAGATGATCTCAGAAATGTTAAAATATATTTTTTAAATGGTCACTTTAGAGAAAATATTTCAAACATTAAGAATTTTGATAAACGGGGCGCCTGGGTGGCTCAGTTGGTTAAGCGACTGCCTTCGGCTCAGGTCATGATCCTGGAGTCCCGGGATCGAGTCCCACATCGGGCTCCCTGCTCAGCAGGGAGTCTGCTTCTCCCTCGGACCCTCCTTTCTCTCATGCTGTCTCTCATTCTCTCAAATAAATAAAATCTTAAAAAAAAAATTAAAAAAAAATTTTGATAAACAAAAAGGTAGAACGGCTTAATGGTTAAGAACATGGACTCTGTAGGCGTACAAACCCAACTATGAATCCTGTTTGAATACAACTAGCTATGTGGCTTTGGCCAAGTTCACCTTCTCCGTTTCCCTATTTGCAAAATGCAGGTGACAACTCATAGAACTATTATTTATGTGCTAGATTACAGACACTGCTTAATAACGAGCACAGTGCTGGAGCACCTAGGTGGCTCAGTCAGTTAAGCGCCTGACTATGGCTCAGGTCACATGGTCTCAGGGTCCTGGTATCAAGCCCCACTTCTGGCTCCACGCTCAGTGGGGAGTCTGCTTGTTCCTCTCCCTTTGCTCTCTCAAATAAAAATCTTTAAAATTAAAAAAATTCGCACAGTGCCTGGTACACAGCCAATACTGAATGTTAGCTATTAGTTGTTCTATCAACTACAGAATTAGTAACTCAAATGATACATAAATCAAGATAGGGCTTGATTTTGCTTAGCCGACTGGATCCAGAGTAACTTCCTCTAAAAGCTCACAATTCAATGACCCATCCTAGAATTTCATCAGTGACTCCTATTACTTGTTACAATTTTCAAAACAAAGATTCATCTTTAAAATGCCATCTCAGCACGCTCACTCTCCTACTGTCCTAGGATCAATAGCACAGCAGCTGATTTGTGATCTTACTAAACTCTCAAAGCAAAAGCCAAGTTAGAGGTTTACATTTATTCCATCAAATTCCCCTTACAATAATCCAACTTAAAAGTTCATTCTCATCTTCCTTGAAGAAGCAAAACCTAACTTTGCATATTGGTTTTTCTGGCCACCAGTTCCAGAACCCAAGTGCAGGAAAAGACACATTTATTGGTGCTTCCAACATTTTAAAATACCTTTGGGTTTAAAACATTTTTTTTTCCCCAAAGCAAAACACTAAGAATTCTAACATTCTTAGTGAAACATAAATTGCATTCAAACTGTAATGGTATCTCGAGTTTCTATTGAAACCAACTGATCCTCAGAGCACTAAAGAGAGCTGAAACAACTCCACCTTTTCAGACCACAGACAGAAGTGGGAGTGACACTGTCCTTACAGGGCTGTCACCTTTCTGCAGTCTTTCCTGGTTGCCGGTCTTCCAATTTTTTATATGGATCTAAAGACCTGTACCAATCACCACAATCCTTCCCCAAGTACCGTAAATGGCTTCTTTGGGTGGCAAGTTCTTTTCTCTCCATACCAAGATTGCTACATTCTTGAGCATGCTCATGGTATCCTGAGTTTGCTGAATACAAGAAGTCCATCCACAGAGCCAACTAGAGAACGCTTTCACTAAACACACACCTGTAACATAACTTGACAGAAATCACCCCCACTAGCCAGACTATTTTGTAAAAACATTACCCATGTGTTTGACTCTTCAAGTCCAGGTACCTGTGCATTAGTGTTTAGTATTGGAGCAGACTGCAAAACCCCAAGTCCCATTATCTTTAAAAATCTGTGATACAATTTTAAGAATTCCTTCCTTCAGTTTTGGACCTTGATGCAGCAGACATTCGGCCACTTTACTACTGGAAAAAGAACATATCAACCTGAAGATCTCTTGGACACAGATCCGTATCTCTCCAACTATCTACTGGAATAGCAATACAAAAAAACTTTTATTCTAATTATGGGCATACACATATTTTAATAAGATAAAAACTACTAGGACACATCACTATTCTGTTAATTTCCTAAGTCTTCACTACTGAGAATTAAGCCAGGGTATACTTTTGGTGTCAACATCTCATTTAGCCATGAGTCAAGTGTGGTGATGGAGCGGATATTCTCATACATTGCTGATGGGGGGTGGGAACATGCTATAAAAGTGGAACAACCCCTTTGGAAGGAAATGGGCAGTATGTATCAGTTGAAAAGTTATGTTTCCTCCCACAGGAAATCCAGAAATGTATCATAGAAATACACATGCAAATATTTAAGTGGAGACAGTTACAAGGATATTTAATGCAGCACCATTTATAATAGCAAGGCTGGAAACAATCTGAATGTCCAAAAGGAGTAAACTAGTTTTAAAAAAATCAGGAGTACATCCAGGTTACACAGTCACTCAAATTAGATCTAAATGCCTGATACAGAATGGTCTATAGTAACTAAATACCTACACACACTGATGTATAAACTATTTCTGGAAGAAACTACTTAACAATGAGTGTCTCTAGTAAGGGGGTGGCTACACAGTTCTACCATGTGTACATGTACTACTGAGAATGAATGTAATTATTCTTTTCTGCTCCTGCCACTGACCTTTAGAAGTGGTATTGCGGGGATAAAGTAATTTTACTTCAGCCTAAGGAAGATTATTCTGACACATTCAGCCTTATTTGGTTTACAACCCAAAATTCCATGCTAGAAAATGATCCATAATTACACCTTGTGTAAGTATGAGTTTGTACTTTAATGATTAAAATAAATACCGTGCTGCTACCTGGTTGAGAAGATAGGATAGTAATGAACTGACTTGGGTATTCTTCAACAACCAGGTTACAGGTAAAGAAAGTTTTTTTTTTCTAAAAATACACATCATCTTTGGGAAACACAAGTGACTTGTGGAAGAAGGGGAGGAATCTTTCCACATTCAGGCAAACAATACTGTCAATGTGTTTGGACTAGAGTTTATTTTAGAAAGATAAAGGATGGAGGCGCAATAATATTTGGCATTTTTAATTTAGGTTTGTTTTATTTAAGTTTAATGTTAATTCCATGCTGTGTTTCAGTAAGAACAATACAGATTCTGTATCTGTGGCTCCAGTCAGATATCCAGTAGTACAAATTAGCTTCAAGTTACACATACTGAACAAAAGAGGTTGAGCGAGCGAAGGGGGGGGGGGCCCAGGGGGAAAGGGAAGGAGAAGAAACAAAGAATTGAACACGCATGCAGGCTTTTCCATACCACCTTCAATGCTAACCTGCTTTAGAGGGAGAGTAAAAGTAGGCAAGAATGAGCAGCCACGGATTGTTGAACTGTTACCAGCACCATGCTTTTCAGCAACATTTCAGCAGAGTTTGAAACACTTTTTACAGCAAAACCATTACAACAACTCTCCAAACAATCTTTAACCCACTTCAAGCTAACACCCAATTAATTTTAAACATTGGTATAAAATTCGATTTAAACAATTAGAAAAAGGAAAAATGATACCACAATGCCTCTATAGTGTGATTAACCTCTCTCTTAGATGCTTGCATCACCTAGAAATTTAATGGCTTTCGAATGTAATTTCCATTTCTAATGGTGATCTTGCCACATCTGGCAGGAGACAATACAGTAATGCTGAAAAAGCCTCTATGCAGTCCTGTTAGTGTCTTAAAGAACCTAAAAGCTGGGACCAGTAAAATCCACAGAAATTCACTCTTGCCTTTAAGAACTTTTGAAAACTGTTTAAAAAAAAAAAAAAAAACCAACAGGGCAGGAACCTAAATTCTGAGACCAAATGTAAAAGTCAGATTTGGTGGTTCTCAGTGACAATGGGGGAATTTCCAATGGGAGTGGGATGGGAAGGAATGGGGTGGTCAGAGATGGTTTCTCTTGTTGGCTTTTATGTCTCACTGATTTTCATCTTCCACATCCTGCAGCGCTTCTTTATTCTGCTCTTCACCTGCAAAGAAGAATGAGTTAATTATTTTATACTGACTAAATTAGACTCTGTGGTAACAAAGAAAGGTATCATTCCAAGCATAGACTCCTTATATTTGCTACAATTGGTATTAAACACAGACAGCCAAAGGACTTCTATCCTCCTTGACACCCGAGATGCCTAAGCCAAGAATTGCTGCTGGATCAAGGTCCTGAATGGTCAATAATCAGGATGAAAAAAACTGATGCACAGTAAAACTATTTTTATGCTAAATAAGCTCTTAAAAGTAGACAGCCAAGGTAACCATATTACTAAATGATTTTCAAGCTTTCATGTATATCTTGGGCCAAAATACTTTCTCAATAACCTCACCTCTTCAAGAATCAAGGGTACTTAGTTTTTTTGGTAAAATCTACCCAACAAGCTCCATGTGAAATGCTTCAGTAGAAAACTGAGCAGTAAAATGCTCCAAAGAAGTTCTATAGTTTTAGAGGGAGGGTTCTGCTTTTTTTTAAATGAGTTTACATTTTGTATCTTAGCCAGTCACACCAAACCATAAACCAAATTTCTTACTCCAGAGTGAAACGGCATGCTCAAAGTAAACCAGACCGCTGAGGTTATTAAAAAAGGGCATTTGGACCAGTTCTCTCATGCCATTTTTCTCTTCCCTTAAAACATGATGATTGGCCTGAGGAGTTTCAACTGCACTATGACATGCAACAGAAAGCCAGCTTATTCACTGGAGAATCATCTACCTATTAATAAGCATTAAATAAGTCAGCCATAATACAGAAAGCATGCAGGCTTTTGCTAAATAATAATGAAACAGGTAAAAGTTACATTGTTTTGTGCTCTAACAAATCACTACAATTCCTATGTAGTTAATAGTTTGAATCAAAATAAGTATCAATTAACTAATCCAACAATCATTGCGGTTCAGACAATCCATCCATTCATATTGCTTGTTAATTAGGACGGACAAATGACACTAAGACTGGCTGCATACCAACATAAAGCATTTAACCCGGAGGAGTGCTTTTTAAACAGTCTGAAAGACCTTGATATGATAAACAATGCAGTTACAGCAACAAGGATTAGGTAAATATAGTTTTAGACATTTTAAATTTTCTTCTCTGACAAAAATGTCTGATATTGAAATGTGACTCTTAAAAAGTACTTAAGGTACATAAAAATTTTTGACTCCTATATATAGAAAAAGACATGCAAAAAGAAAGACAAAAAACTATTTACTGAGGAAAGAAATGATGCACCACCCAATGGTTCCCAAAAAAATGTATTCGAACTTAGGAAATGAGAGTAACATTCACGCTCATTTTTAACAGCAATACACTGCCAAAATATGGTTAACAACAGAGCACACTCTAATTCGCTTATAAGCAACCATTAGATTTGCCAAAAGTTCCAAGTAACTTTGGCATAGAATATTGTCAGATGAGTCACACCCAACCAGAGGTAGACAGGGGTAGCAGATCATAAATGTCTTAGAAGGTTTCACATCCTAGAATGTAGAACAGGCAGTTTTGTAAGCAAAAGGATGATGATATATGCAGGCATGATTAGTGAAGAACCAAAACTAAAAAGCAGAATTTGCTGTGCCATGATAATGACTTACAAAGTAGAGTTTTTAGGAAAGGAAGAGTTGGATTTTCCTTTAGGAATCTATATTGCAAGGAGAAAGGGAGGGAGAACAATCACATGAAAGCAACATTACAAGAAAAATAAACCCAGAGAGCAGGACAAAAGAAAACATCAATGATTTAGGGGAGTCAGATTTGGGTCTTTTTAACTTTGTATAAAGTTCACTCTACAAAGTATCTGTTCCTCTTACCTTTAAAAGGATGAAATAATATCCTCTTAAAAGGTACACAGAAGAGGGGAAAAAAGGTTTCTTTGGATATGTATTTCTTTGCCCACTGTTTCCTGATTTGGGGGGAAGAAGGGAACAGGCAGAGAACACACATTTCCTTTCTATGGACTTGTGTATGAAACGGTCCTCTGAACATAGGTTAAGAGAAAAGGACTGAAATCACGTGATGAGAAATAGTGGTAATGTTTATAAAGATGTTCCAACACAGACAGAAGTAAACATATTTTGCAGTTAAAAAAACATCTCAGTAAAAGCTCAGGAATCACATACACATTTCTTCCTTTAGAAACCTTTAATTCAAGTGTTTTTTTACACCATTTTTCATAATAAAATTAAAAAGAAAACTATCTAAATAATGCTCAACTAAATCCAACATCCTGGGAAGCTGCCAATTTCATGGCTGCAATTTTGCAGAGATTCTAAGACACAAAAACCAAATTAATAAAACTAATGTAATAAAAACAATTTTCATATAGTATATGTAATACTACACCTTTTAGGAAAATAGCGAATAAATTACTAGTACCCACAACGATTTGTAAATTCAGATAATTTGTTAATTTTACTAAAATGTCCAGAGGCTACTTGAATTTTTCACTGTTAAATGTATGTTTCATAGTTTCAAATATTTTATCACAAAGCTCTTAAATAAAAATTAGTCTGTTTCAACCAAATTTAATCAGTGGTCCGATTTACAAAGAACTATGAATCAAGTGGATTTTACTGTATTTAAATAAAACTCTTTTAGGATTAAAGAGAAATCTATGCTGAAATGTAATAAAACATCTCTGTACAGGGGCGCCTGGGTGGCTCAGTCGGTTGGGCGTCTGCCTTCGGCTCAGGTCATGATCCCGGGGTCCTGGGATTGAGCCCCGCACATTGGGCTCCCTCCTTGGCGGGGAGCCTCCTCCCTCTCCCACTCTCCCCCTGCTTGTGTTCCTGCTCTCCCTATCTCTCTGTGAAATAGATAAAATCTTAAAAAAAAAAAAAAAAATCTGTACAAAGAACCTTTGGAACTATGTAAAGTAGTTTCAAGAAAATACCCTATTGTAGAAGGCAATCTATTTCATAAAATGTTTGATTACCAAGAAAAAGAATTATCTCTGGTTCTATGTAAAAACAGAATGACATATAGTTTACTCTGATTAATCAATTATTGGTTACCAGTGATAAATAAAACATTAGAAAATATACTTTATTTCCATTTAATTTTATAATCTAGCAAGCTTAGTTATAAAAGTTGGCATGAAATGTCTAAAAAAAGCAATGTTTCAACCCAGGTGACGCTGTTATTTTCACCCTCAGAAAAATGCCCCCAGAGGTCAGAGGGGTATATACCTTACTTAGGTCAATACCGCTTACCAAACTCTCCACATGTTTTCCTTTTATCCCCTCAAACAGGGAGTTATTAGTCTTCTCTGAGGGTGACTGTGAAGAGTCCAGAGCAGTTTGGCCATTCTTCTGAGTAGTTATTGTTTAGAATACAACAGAATGTTAAAGCTGGAAGGAACCTCAAGTCATTAGTTCAGAGAAGGTTGGTTTTGAATCCCACAGACTGGCAGCAGTTGCCTGAAGTGCTGTGTTGGAAAGTAGTATGTGGCTCCATCTGGCTTCATTGGGTAAGTGTGCAAGTAGGTCAGAAGTGCCACATATCTCAAACCAACCTTAAGTCAAATATCTAAATATTTCATAAAGCTAGCTGGCTTTAAATGAGTCACCTAATTCTCACTTTAGTACCTAAGAAGTCTAAAATCTGACTCTATCCTTCCAGAGTAAGGAAACACAACATACAAGCCTGGAAAACCCATTTTCAGAGGTACATTTAAGAAGTGGAACGCTTCCAAAAAAAAAAAAAAAAAAGAAGTGGAACGCTTCCAAAGACCGTCCAGCATGCTATGCTGGCTTAACCAACAGACACAGCCAGCCTCAAGCAATACAACATATGATTCAATTTGGGTAATATACTCTTAAAGGATCTGCAACTAAAATTGACAAACTTTTTGTTTCCACTTCCCATACCACCACCACCAACTGTAAAGCTAGCTCATAAAATGATCACATCACTCTAGTTTTTGTGCTCTGTGCCCTCCACCTCCCCCCACCCACCCTTCAATGATCTATCATGGATAAAAAGATTCTTTGGAATAAGCAGACTAAAATCTCCTTTAAAATCAACAATTATGCAAATCTGGGCATTTAGAGGATAAATATTAACCCCCCATCACAAGACTAAGCTTTGTAAAATACTATTTATAACTAAAAACAAACAACAAAAACAGAGACACCAGACCTCTTAAATAAGGAAGAGCAGGACATTCCATTTGCTCTATAAAATCCAAAGACAAAAAATTTCCTTCTTTAGATAAAGATTTCCACAGAGAAGATGATTCATATTTACTGACACCATCTAGTTTTAACCTGAGGATACTAGTCAGCCAAGCAGTGATCGTGACATTCAAATACAATTACTTAGATCCCTAAAATTGAATCTGAGAAAGATAAAATGCGCTGCTTCCTGCCTCCATCTTCCAAAACAGTGAGAGAAGCAAACTAAGTTTAGCTAGCATTAGAGACAAAATAAAGCTTCGAATATTAAAAAAAGATCCCCCTTTCCAAACAAGTCTTTTACACATAATCGTATAGCCCCAAACGAAAATGTACTTTGAGATCATTTGTTATAAAGGCAATAATTAAAATTTGATAGTCTGGAGGATAGGCTGAGTCTAAACTGTAGCTTAATGTGAAGAAATACCAAGAAACTCCTAAAAGTAAAAAGACCCAACAACTGAAAGAGATGCATTTAACTTCGGAGTTTCCTTACCATCACCCTGCATGTCTGAAGTCCATAGTGTCAGATTATCACGTAACAACTGCATGATAAGTGTAGAGTCCTTATAGCTTTCTTCACTCAGCGTATCCAGTTCTGCAATTGCGTCATCAAAAGCTGCTTTTGCCAACCTAAAAGTATTTACATATTACAAAAATAAGCCCAAAAACAGAAATGACATGTCAGAAATCAATCTTTTTCTTCAGTTATCCTACAGTACGTAATAGTGACACTGAGTATCTTGGGTTTTAAATACCAAAATAAAGAAAAAACAGATGTAAGTGATGAAAATTAACTTTCTATTTAATGTTGTATCTAGCAAATTTGGAAGCAAATTTTTGGAGTACTTCTTTTTAAGAAAAACAAACAAACATTCCCCTCAATGTGGAGCTCAAACTCCTGACCTGAAGATCAAGAGTTACATGTTCTACCAACTGAGCCAGCCAGGCACCCCAGAGCACCATTTCTTACTAGGCTTTTGACAAGCATATCAGTAAACAGAATACACAGACCAAACTCTAACCTGAACCACCACCAAAATATATGCATAATAGAAGTATTACGAAGTTCTAGTCAACAGCTCACTTATTTAAAATTTTAATGTAAAAAGATGAAATGTTGGACAGCTCAGTTTAATTCCAAAGAATTTAATGTTAATGAAAGCAAAAAAAACAAAAACAAAAAGGCAATATAGAACTCATAGTAATGTGATATATAAGCCATTTGCTAGAATTTAAAAGAAAGAAAATCAACATTAACTGGGTACGCTGTATGATGTACACCAAGTGATGCGGGACACTAGTGGAGAAACAGAAGAAACACTCCCAGTCCACAATGAACATGTAAGAATAGAGGACTGATACATAAAACTATTATAAAACAAGTATGAAGTGCTACTCTGGAGAAAGTACTTAAACCCTAGAGAATGAGCAAATTAGGAAGCCAAATATGAACTCATCTTAAAGGGTAGGAGAAGAGCATGAATGCAACACTAAAAATTAAAGCAAATGCATAGGGGTGCCTGGGTGGATCAGTCAGTTAAGCATCTGCCTTCGGCTCGGGTCATGATCCCAGGATCCTAGGATCGAGCCCCACATCGGGGGTCCCTGCTCACTGGGGAGCCTGTTTCTCCCTCTGCTGCCCCCCCTACTTATATTCTGTCAAATAAATAAATAAAATCTTTAAAAAATAAAAATAAAAAAAATGGGGGTGCCTGGGTGGCTCAGTCGTTAAGCAGCTGCCTTCAGCTCAGGTCATGATCCCAGAGTCCTGGGATCGCGTCCCACATCGGGCTCCCTGCTCAGCGGGAAGCCTGCTTCTCTCTCTCCCACTCCCCCTGCTTGTGTTCCTGCTCTGTCTCGGTCTCTGTCAAATAAATAAATAAAATCTTTAAAAAAAAAAAAAAATATGGAACCAACATACAAAGATGGAGAACGGCTCATAATAAAATAGAAAGTATGTACACTAAGAGCATAACTATATTAACATGCCTACAAAGACTAAAAGCTAATATAAAAAAAATTCTATTATAATTCCACTCTCCCACTATAAAGTTAAAAATTGAACCTACCAACAAAAATTTTCCCCATCAACATAATCCAAAACTGCTATCCTAGTGAACTGAGATAGGGTTGGTCTTAAAATCATCCAAACAGTTTCATTAAGAGGCAAAAGAATTCTCTGTTACATGGCCAAGGCTGCATAAGGCAATCCCAGGAAACAAAACAATTCTCTTTTGTAACTTTTTTCCACTTTCACAGTGAGAGCTTTTGTTTCTCTTCCATGACTTACCTGCAGGCACGGTCAGGGGAATTAAGAATTTCATAGTAGAATACGGAAAAGTTGAGAGCAAGACCTAAGCGAATTGGATGCGTTGGTGGAAGTTCTGTCATTGCAATATCACTAGCAGCTTTATAAGCCACTAGGCTGTTCTCTGCAGCCTCCTTCCTGTCATTTCCTGTGGCAAATTCAGCCAGATACCTGTGGTAGTCCCCTTTCCTAAAACAAAACAAAACGAATAGAATTAGGAAAAATAACTTTTTAAATGAAAGTAAAGTGTCGAAATTTTATAGTCTATAAAATATGTGACAAAAATATGTTTAATAATTAACATGGATACTTCAATAATTTCACAAAGTCTCTTTCAGCAAAGATGGACTATTCAGTTTTCCTCCTCAGAGTTCAGAATACCAAATAAGCAAAATCCTAGAGAAATTAACTGGAAAGCCTCAAAAATCAACATATGTATCACTGACTACAATTAAACATAAAAAGGTGGTTCCAAAAAAACGGCATGACAGTTTGTTAATTGTGAAATAAAACTTCTACATAAAATGTTAAAATTGAACTCTGTAATACATTGCTACAGCTGGTGGGTAACTCCATACAAAAACAAATGCAAATAGATAAAATCTAGTACTCTTACAAATAAACACTCTGACCACCTTAAATGCAACAATTGTTCATTAGCAGTGAATACACAAATGAGCACTCAAAAATTAAGTTTTAAAAATCCTTCCTCCCATGTAACTATCCTTCTAACATTAAACAACTATTCTTTCGGGGCGCCTGGGTGGCTCAGTTGGTTAAGCGACTGCCTTCGGCTCAGGTCATGATCCTGGAGTCCC